ATCTATCTATCTATCTATCTATCTATCTATCTATCTATCTACAGTATGTATGTATATGTATATAATATATATAATATATATATATATATATATATATACAGTGTATATATACTGTGTATGTGTATATATATATATATCAATCAACCTTTATTTATACAGGTAAATCCCATTGAGCCTCGAGGACTCATTTACAAGAGAGACCTGATTTCAACAAAGAAAGATGACAACAATGGACAACAGCAACAACAATAAGCAGTTATAAAAACTCATACTACAGTTTTTTTTTTGTTTTGTTTTTTTTAACAAATAGGATGGCTAAAAGGAAAAAGGTAACAAAACAAAAAAACAGCTAGATTCCAAGACAAATGTATAAAACTAAAAACATATATATATATGTATATATATATATATATATATATATATATATATATATATATATATATATGTATGTGTGTGTGTGTGTGTGTGTGTGTATTTATGTATTCAACTAGCTAAAAAACAAAAATCTATACATTGTCTGTAGCTGCTTACGATGACTAACCTTTGCTGAGAGGGACCAGCTCCACTAACTGTGCCACCACGCCGTCCTAGCTTAAATGTTTTGTTGGCAAAATGGACAAATCCAGTTCCCCTTATGACTTCAGTTTAATACTCATTTTTAGGTTAAAGCCTTTACAACTAGTATTTTTATTTGATCACCAATAGTTTGTCAAACTGGATTAATAATAAATGAAAAAAACAACAACAAAAAACACGCATAATAAACATTTTACCATGTCCCGTTTCGGAGCTGGATTAGTGTAGTCATAGTTAGATTTATTAGTTACAGTGCTACATTTCTGATGAAATGTCTGTTCTAGTTATGAATAACTGTAATCAGTAATCATGGCAAAAGCAGCTCACATAGAGTTTAATAAAGTTCAATGATGACGTTTTATTTTTTCAAAGAGGAACTAAATAAGATTATGAGAGCATCAAATCTAATAATCAACCTGCGTGATTCATGCTGATCAGACCACAAGATGCTGCTAATTACATTTCTATAATAATCAACATGTATCAACGGTAGGTAAAATAAATTGACTTGTCATTTGATTTTTTTTTTTGGTTCCCTTCCATTGTGTTATTTCAAATCTGTAAGAGCATATAAATGTTGAAAATTCTTCATTTGAACATTTCTGGAAACCAAATGAAGCTAGTCAACATTTTTTCCTGATTAGTGTCACTTCTCACCAACAGTTTGACTACAATATGCCATTCTTTAGTATTGAAAGAAAGAAAATATTTTTTTCAAGCAGACTAATGCAATTTGGGCAGAACAAAGCCCAGGGCAGACTGACATTTCCTGCAGAGAACATTTAAAAGGAGCTTTTTGTGGGTGAGCAAAGATGCAAGAATGTCCTCCAGTAGTATACTTTAGCCAACATTCTGTTAGTGATTCATTTGAACAAGAGAAATGGTTCAGAGGTCAGTCAGAAATTTGTCATTATCAGAGTGAATGATGCAAACAATTAGACTGTGATTTTTCACATTAATCAGGACTGTTTTATTATTATAACACAAAGGTCTCGCAGGAAAAACACCAACAACTGACTTCAGCTGTAAATTTCTCTGTTATTCCCAAGAGAAACATCATACTTTTCAGCTTTACCTTGATATGTATATAAATAATATATACCATCTTTAAGAACGGAGTAGCTTTCAAACCTCCTGCTACCCATTATGAGATTCATTTAAATCTTTTCATGTAAAAGATTTTTATAAACATGTATGCCCGTATCAGTTTCATATTTTTGTGCATTTACATAGAATTCTATGGTTATTAGCCAGCACTAATACCTTCATCTGTCAGTTTGGACTTTTGCAAAAGCAGGAACAAATTCTCGGGGCTTGTCAGGATGTGCAGCAAAACTGCTGGTATAGCCCTACATGACCTCACTGACCTACACAAGCCGAGGTCAGTGAACAAGACCAGGCTGATTCTGGCAGATCCTGATCACCCTCTCCATGGTGAGCTCAAGTTGCTTCCATCTGGACGCAGGTATCTGCTGCCCAGATGTGAAACGAACAGACTGAAAAACTCATTTATCCCTGTAGTGATCAGGCTTCTCACTGTACAATGATTTCTGTCCTGTTACTGTAATGTCTCAATGTCTTGTCTTGTATGGATGTTTTGTGTGTTTACTAACTGTGAAACGAATTGCCCCTTGGGGATAATAAAGATTCTTGAACTTGAACTACTAATAGTAGCTAGCTGTAATACTTTTGGTGAACACTTTCAGCAGGTCACAATACTTATTTAGAAATAACTGCGTATTGCAAATTTGCAAATAGAGTAAAAAATGTATAAAGTATTTTTTTACATGAACCACTCAAATATTTTTTAGACTGGATGTATTTAAAGATAACCACAATCCACTTTGACCTTGGTGCCAATCAGATCAGCTGTTAGTAGGGCTGTGGTGATTAACAATAAATCAATTAATCGCATGATGAATGAAAATTATCAACCTCATTTTCATTTACCGGCTTTATCGTTTCTTCATGTCTCTCTATTTCTACTGAAGACACGGCTCAACTCTAGTGTTCTTCGCTGACCCCGCCCTTTCTCTTTTTTCTTTAAAATCTGTTTTAACCGTCCAAAAACGTGTTTTTGGATTGTTAAAAGCAGCTAAGCTAACAGGCTGACCTCGGGAATAAACCTCCGTCTTGTCGAGCTCCAAAATTAACAGTTGAAACCTGTGCTTTCGTGTAAAAAGTTGTATGTCTCTGCAAAAAGAAGCTGAGAACTTCTTTACTGATTTTTTTGTTAAAAGCTTTGTGCGAAAAATGCTATGCTAAAGAGTTCAAATCACCAAGCATCCGCCATGTCACCACATCAGCCCATGTCACGTCAAGGGCCCTCCATCCCATTTTTCTTAAAGAGACACGCTGCTCAACTATCCATCCTTTGGTTCAGTCTTATACTGCCATCAGGTGGTCAAAAAAGGGACTACACTCCAAACAAATCAACATTTCTTCAAAAATTTGACAATTAATTATTGTTAAATTTCAAACGATATTATCGTTTATCGCAACAATTTCTGGGAATTAATCGCTCCGCACAGTTTGTTCTCGTGACAGGCCTAGCTGTTAGTACATCACACT